TTCCGGCCTAAGAATAAGTCTAATCAGAACCAAAACAGATGTTTTTTAGCAGGTATGAGCTGTAAAGGCGCAGCTCTATTCTGGAAAAGGGGGCGGGGAGCAGCAGCTCATTTGCATTTAAAGAAACAGGCCCGGAAAAAAAAGCATGTTTCTGCTTCCACTCAAAATAGGCATTTTCAAAATGATATAATAAATGATCTGGGGAGTATTTTGAACTGATATTTCACAGACACATTCTGGGGACACTAGAGACTTATGTTACATATTGTAAAAAGGGGCATAATATGTCTCCTTTAAGCACTGTATGTGTATAGATGTTGTTGTGTCTCTAATAAGATCGGTCACAAGCATGATCCCTGCAGGATCTAATCTAGCGTCTTATTAAGTGACTGTCATCCATTGTCTGCAGCACATTCTTCTCCCTCTTCGTCTTTTGGCCATTTTCTCCTCTGCTAAAGAAACTCTTAAAGGTGACATATCAAGAAAATCTGACTTTTCCAGATTTTAAGTGCTATAATCAGGTCACCAGTGCATCTACCAACCAAGGAAACGTGAAAAAGATTAACCCAGTAACTTTGTTTTGGTAAGCCTTTTTCTGACTTGGCAAAGGGATCTCATTATAATAAACCCCTTAATCTGTAAATTTACACCCACGGCGCCATTATTGTTATTTTCATAAGCGACAACGGTGTACCAGTTCTAATGCCATGGCGAAAGTTTGAGCAAAACATGCTAACTGTTCTATCTTTGACTGCACAGACGAGCACAGAACACTGTTTAGAGTCCCAGCCTCAGAGACAAGAGAGCAGTGCATTTATTGATGTATTTACTGTATATTGCTGCTGCCACACAGATCTAAAATAAACAAGCGATTTATTTCCCAGCGGTTTACCTTCACAGACATAACCAACTGTTTTTGTAACTCGTGTGTGTTTTTAATGTAAACTTGTGTGAATGAGAACTTAGTTTAGTACTCGCATGCTGTGACAGCCGCTTTCTGTCCGTGTGCTTTCGGATGTGTGCTTTCAGAAAACCATATATTTGAAGTTTAAACTCGTATGGTTTAAAACGCATGATTTCAGCGCGATAAACATAGTCAGAACCAAAACAGATGTTTTTTAGCAGGCACGAGCTGTAATGGCGCAGCTCTATTCTGGAAAAGGGGGCGGGGAGCAGCAGCTCATTTGCATTTAAAGAAACAGGCCCGAAAAACA